GGGGGTGTCTGGGGGCCTCCTCCCCCTCGATGCTGCTCCACAGCTCCCAGCCCTGGGACACCGCCTGTACCTGCCAGGTCTCAGCTGCCCCCACCTCTAAGCATTGGATCTGAGCCGGGGCCTCCTGCCCAGGCCCCCGAGTGCCCACAGCCTGGCCTTCCCATCCATCATCACAGGCCCGACACTGACCCAAACGTGTCCGGTGGGTGGGTACCCGTCCCAGATGCCCGAGGCTCGTTTTTGTTTGTTCCATCAATTAAAATAGCTGAGCGGCTGGTTATTTCCCAAGAGATGGATAGACGCCCAAGTTGAGCAACTCCTGGTTGTTATTTAGGAGGCCGTGGGTGGGTGGGAGGGTGAGGGGAAAAAAGCCTGTCTCAGATAAAGTAAGTAAACAAAATGAAGAAGAAAACACAGAAACCGAGCCCGTGGGCAGGACTGCAGTTCTGACTCTCCGGCCCACGCTCCTCCCCGGGCCCCGGGGGAATGACTTCCTTCCGTCTGGAAAGAGAAGAACACGGGCTCAGGAGGCACTGAGCTCGGTGCCCCGTCTGCGCAGAAGGGCTTGCCCACTGGAGGGCTCTCGGGGGGGGGCAGCTCCCGGTGAGCTTAGCAATCGGGATCCGCCAATCAAAGCCCCGAAGGGGTGGGGACAGTGAGATGTGATGGCACTTTAACAACAGTGACTGATGTTAGGAAGCACCTGCAGCATGGAGCAGACTGGCATACCTCGAGGGGGGCGGGGGTGAGGAGCGATAAACCAAAGACCTCATAGGCTTATATGCACAGCCATGGACACGGGCCGTCGGGTGGTGACCTGGAGGGGTGGGGAGGAGCTGGGAGGAGGGGGAGGGGAGGGAAACGGGATACATCTGTAATAGTATCAACAATAACGTATATATATATTTAAAAAGCCCTTTCACACTCGTCATGGCCAGAGCCTGCGGAGAACCCACTCCACACGCGGGGTGCACGGGACACAGGTGCTCAGGCCGAGCGGCTCAGAGGCTCATCCTCAGCGAGCAGGGTCCGCGCAGCCCGCCCGCCCCCCCGGGACAGCCCCGTCATGAGGCTGGAGCCGGAAGGTTAGTGTGTCCGTCCTCACGAGCCAATGAGTCTGCGAGTTCAGGAGGCTGCGGACGCGTTCCCATCCGGTGAGCCTCCTGAGCCGTCTGCCAGCTGGGGTGCCGCTCACTGCCGGCCCTTTCCTGCCCCGAAAGGCCCCGGCCCTCGGAGACCAGCCCTCCCCCGTCCTTCCCGGAGTTCCCGGAGCGTCAGCACGTGGGTGACCTAACTGCCTTTCCCCGCGTGACGCCTGGTCCTTCCCAGCGACGGGCACTGGCCACGGAGACCAGCAGGAAGCCCTGGGCTGGAGACCTCGGGCGTGTCTGTGGTCCGCCATTCTAAGGCATCGACGTTGTTTTAAGCGGAGATCACGCTAGACCAGGGGTGGGCAAACTTTTTGACTCGAGGGCCACAGTGGGTTCTTAAACTGGACCGGAGGCCGGAACAAAAGCATGGATGGAGTGTTCGTGTGAGCTAATATAAATTCAAAGTAGACATCATTACATAAAAGGGTACGGTCTTTTTTTTTTTTTAGTTTTATTCATTTCAAATGGGCCGGATCTGGCCCACGGGCCATAGTTTGCCCACGGCTGCGCTAGACACATTAGTGGTTATTACTGATTTTTAAAATACTTTTACTGATTTCAGAGAGGAAAGGAGAGAGACATAGAAACGTCAATGATGAGAGAGCATCATTGATCAGCGGCCTCCCGCATACCCACAACTGGGGATCGAGCCTGCAACCCGGGCCTGTGCCCTGACTGGGAATCAAAAGTCAACCTGCTTTATAGGTCGACGCTCAGCCACTGAGCCACGCCGGCCGGGCGGTTCTTGTTTTGTAAAGTGAGTGATGGTCAGCCCTACCTTCCTAACTCTGTTGGAGGCGAGAGAAGACCGGGAACTCCACCTCCTGACCACTGGAACACGTGGTCCTCCTCCTGCGAACCAACACAGACACATCGCCTCGCCTCGAATCTGGCCCGGAGACCTCGGCTTCATTCTTTAAGGACCTTTCTGAGCCCTTGCTGTTTGGTGCCAGGCGCCGGGCCGTGAGCCAGGCCGGAGGACTGGTCTGTGCCGATGCTGCCGACCGACCATGGTGCTCTCCTGAGGCAGCGTCCCCCCACCCACGGGCCTCTCCAAACCCTCCCTCGAGGTCAGCTCTCTGCCTGGCCGTGCCTCCCGCCCTCACGACTTATCCTAGAGCAGAACCTATGACACGTGTGTCAGAAGTGACACGCGAACTCATTTTTATGGTTGATTTTTCTTTGTTAAATGGCATTTAAATATATAAAATAAATATCAAAAATATATGTCTTTGTTTTACTATGGTTGCAAATATCAAAAAAATTTCTATATGTGACCCGGCACCAGAGTTAAGTTAGGGTTTTTCAAATGCTGACACGCCGAGCTCACAAGGTTCGCCGTCACTGTCCTAGGGCGAGGGAACACGTGGGTGTGCAAGGGCCGGAGAGCATCACCTTCAGGGCCACTTGGGCTCTGAAGGGGACACTGAGTCCCAGGGAGGACAAAGGCGCGATCTGCGCCCACACCCAGCATGTTGGGAGATGGAGTGGGAACCGAGGCGCCCAGCGATTCTGCACAAGTGCAAGGAGCGAGCCTCCCTTCCCAGGGGGAGTAACCAGCCTCCCCCCCAGGGAGGCAAGCCGACCCGGGCAGCCCCCAGATGAAGCTGGCGTGGCCACAGCCGTGGGGCAGGGCAGACCTGATAGGGGGCCCCTTGTCTCCCCAGACAGGCCGTTCCCCACAGCCACCCAGGACTGTCCTCTGGAGAAGCACTGGAGGGCGGCACGGGGAGCCAGGCGCCGTGGAGACGAGAGGGGCTTGCTTCCCAGACTTGGGGCTCCCGGAACGCTCTGCAGGAGCCCACCCGGTCGGTCTGGGCCTTCCTGCGAATCGAGCCCCCCCTTGACACAGATGAGAAGCCCGCGGCCTCTTCAGAGGGAAGGCAGACTCACCGCGCGCTCCGGAGACGTCCCAGAGCCAGCCCGATGGGTC